TGCATTTTCCGTGTATCTTGATCGCTCCGCGTTCCTGCTCTCCTTCCTTGTCTTGCGTGCTGTATCCTATCGACATTGATCGACCCTTCCTGTTTCGTGATATGTCGCCGTGGATTGCGGACCACACTTGGTTCCTGTTCTTCTCCTGTTTGGCCGAGGCTTGATAGTTTTCGTTTTGCTTCCTTCGGTATTCTTGTAGCTCCTCCTGTTCAGGGATCAGGTGTACTGTGAGTTGGACAATTATTCTCTCTTGTTCCGACTCCTTGCAGTAGACAATCAGGTCGTCTTGTGACTTCCTGAGGCTCCGATCGCCCGTCCTCCAGAAATTTGCAGCGTAGCATATTTCTGATCCTTTAGGTACCTTACCGACTAGCATGAAGCCGTCAGGGATTTCTTTCCTGAAGCAAGTTTGGTTCCATCCGATCAAGATTGTTCCAGACTCGCCTGCGGCGTAGCTGAGGTATTGTTCCTGTTGGTCGATCCATATTATTTCACGTCGAACCTCGTCTTCCTGCAAGCTATCGGTTGCGGCCTGGATTGTCGGGTGATAGAGGGTGGGCCAGTTGCTGAACTGTTTTGTTTCAGCGAGCATCCCCAAGTGTTCTAGAAATTCGTACGACAGCGGAAGGCCTTGTTGTCTATCTCGAATTTCAGCCATGGCGGTGGTTAGATGTTCCCACCAAGCTTGCGAGTTGAGTGAGCTGTTATGTGTTTTGCTGATATACTTAGCAATTTGCAGTAGGATCTCTGTCTTCTCTGGGTTCTTGGCTCCATCGTCATCTTCTTTCCTCGCAAATGGCGCCGAGCGAAGGGAAGGTTCAGCTTCTTTGATGTCTTGTTCTTGGCCCGTGTGACTTCTGGGCCGGTCCATGATTGCTATGTCGCCCTTGATTTTGAAACTTTCCTTACCTTTTAGGATTAGGTGTTCCTGTTGATCCAGATTGCCTAGTAGTTTAGCCATGAGGGATCTTGTGTTTGCATGAGCTGGGTGTGGCCTTCTCTCTTCTGCTGGCTCTCGGAAAGCTCGAAATGCTGTATCGTTCGCCTCTGGGCAGCTCGAGGAGACGATCCACTCCACCTCCCTCTGTCTCCAGATGCCAGGACGTTGGCCCCTACAGCGACGAAGCCTTTCTGACCTAAGCCTTTGTGGACTTGCTGGCCTGGCGCCCCAGCGACCAGCATGCCTGCCAGCGGCTGGAGTTGGACCGCTGCAAGGGACTGGCGCAGCAGCTGATACCGGTAGACATCAGCTATTTCTGCTGTTGTCATGCCGCCCAAGGTTAGCAGGTGAGTCAGCTCTGCCAAGCTGCCCCCTTTGCCCCAGGGGCCTCTCTTGGCTCGAATTTTGAAAGATCGATCGTGCACGATGCTCACATGTACAGCTGTGAACTTGCGACCATCGATCGCGAAGTCCTCTCTTCCCTGCCAGAGCTTCTCCGCTTGTGCATTGCGGAGGAAGGAAACAGTCACCGGGATCTCCTCAGCACTCGCTATCTCGGGTCTATACGGAGCCTTCCACATGATTGCTTTACTCTCTTGCACTGAGTCTACGATCAGTCCGATCTCTTCGAATTTCTTCTTTAGCTTCTCTTCGTGGTTGACATACACCGAGGAGATGCCCAGGAGAGTCATGGAGATGAAGGAAGTCACCTCGTTGCCTGCTGTGGCGGTGTATGTCTCGACCTTCTCCTTCTTGGCTTTTTCAATCTGCTGCATAAATCATTCTCTGGATGCGTCACTCCATCCAGTCATCGCTTCTTGTAGAAGCTCACGTCGTGCCTGCTGACATGTCGAGCGGATGGCTTCTGCGATAGCGTCGGGGGTGCATCCCTCCACAGCCTTGCAAGCCTGGGCTGTCCTACTGTTCGGATAACGCTTCGCGAAGCTCTTCACCCTCTCGACGAGGTCAGCTTCGAGGACAGAGGCATCCACAAGTCCGCTCTGCGTGTATTGGCAAGATCTCCGATACAGCAGGTTGCGAACATTTTCATCATACTGAAGAACCATACTTAGAAAGCTATTTGACGTATACAAACCTCTCGCTTGCAGCTTCCTTGGCGCCCTGGCGGCTTCCCCTACACCACGCGTGCAGCCATGGTGCCTGAAATAACCGGCCCTAAACCCTAAACCCTCCCCTCCTGTCCCTTCCCCCCCATTCGCCCACCTCTTCCCTCCATGACCATG